CTTGTGATGGCTCAGAGGTAGAACGCCCGGCGCATTCCCCCCTATAATAAGTCTAACGCGCATGAGTTCATCTCAATGCACTTAAAGTCGTAACTTAGATGACTGCCAACCCACAAGATCGATTCATCCTCATGGTCAGTTCTGTGTTTATATGAGATTACTTACCAGAAGACTGACAGTCAGAATCAATGAGTCCTTGATGTGATCTTTATGGCATTGACACATGTGAGTTAAAAGCCGTTCTTGCGAACACTTGATGTATTCTTCGGGAACTTGTTCGTCTGTGGCACGCGTAGACAAACTGTTATGCCCTGTCAGCCAGTGCGCTCGAACCAGCCTCCGGTCGTCCTGATCCCAGCTTGTCACCGGATCCAGGTGGGCGAGAGATGGGGATAAAAATGGTAGATTTTGCGCAAGTCTGCTATCCCAATAAACTAATTGATGCCCTACGCAAACCATGCTGTGAGGCACACAATGGACACCCTTTTTCCCGACGTTCGAACTGTCGTGTAGTGTACAGTTATTTTGCACACGCGTCAATATGGTCGTCACAATTACAAAAGGGTATCTTGCGAGATTTATTACAAGGAATATGGTTGAGAGACAAGTAAAACCCACCACATTTACCGTGGAAGAGTAAAAGCTATTTCTTAAAGTCCCCTTCCAAGTGCATAGGGCAAGTGAACTCCGGAAAAGACACCTTAATCTAGGCGTGTCAAGAGCCTTTCCAGCAGCAAGAGTTCGGATATTATTGTCTACTAACCCGGTCTTGCATGGGGATCGTTAGGATAGGTTGCCAGCTCACACCACCTCCGTGTGCAGCTACCCATTTACTTGCTCATGTGGAGCAGGTTATATTGGGTGAACGAGTCGGCGCCTATCCAAAAGAATAAGGGAACACCTGCCGGCATGGCTGAGATCAAGTGGAGTCAGGAGCATAGACAGCGCCATTCTGGTGCACATAGCGGATTCTGGATATCGCGTGGACCCAAACGAACCCTTCCAGCTGATTTATAAGATCCCACCAAGCTACCCCGATTCCCTTTGTCAGTGTCTGCTGGCAGCGGCCGAAGCGTCCGCTATCTAGTTGAGGAAGCTGGTCTTGTGGACACAATAGAGCCTCCTGCATGCCATGTTCCACGGTCGCTTGTCTGCATAACCTCTTCCGCGCTCTCTCTCGCCTCCCCCCCTGAACCGGCCCCACCAACCCCTCCCCACCGCATGACCACCGTTCTCTTATCGGCTCTCATTCCCCTTATCTTCATGATTCACTTGGATGAAATGAAGAACATATCGGACCGCATGTTTTACCTTTGACACCGTCCCCATATGAAAGTACTGTCCCGATTAAAAATTATCGAAAGCTTACGTATGCTCGCTGAGTTCCCGGATGGGAGTTTTTGCAACTTTAAAAACACCCTTTATTTTTTTCTTCACGGCACCTTAGACTCTTCTTGCGTAATTTTCAGTATCTCGTGTATTTTATTCTGGATATCCTTTGATTTTAGCTCTTTTGGGATAGTTTTGGTTGAGCTGCCGCTAATCCTCTCTCCTTTCCGAGATTTTGTTCTCTGCAGCTACTCAAACGACTAAACTTTTTTCGCTTTAACAGACCAGTGGTCAAACATCACACCTGTCTGATCGGCTCCAAAAAACCATAACTCGGATCTCAGCTCGTTTGGTGGCGTCTGCGAAAAGTCCGGCCGTCATAAATGGAGTACGTCATTCCCACTCCCCTCCCCCCCATGAGCACTGACGTCTGCATTGTCTTTGTCAAAGCATACCCCACATAATTGCTACTAGCTATTTGATAGTAGATACATTTGTTTTTAGACCAGATTTGCCATCCCAGATTGTATAGCCAATCGGCACCAGGAGGAATTGTTGCAGAGCAGCGACTTGCAAGCTATTGGGGAGGTCATCCAACGTCACCTTGTGGGCATCGAGTCGCTCGTCTTTCTGGCTACCATTTTGGAAACAGTGAGTCATTACATACACAATAATTTTTGTTCTGCTCTCCCTTGTCGTCTTCTCGCTGATCGTCATTTTACGCACTTTTCGTTGCAGCAACTAATTTCGCCCCTGCATGAGTGTCTGCCTGATAGCAAACATGGCCTCTTGGTGGTGTTTAAGGAACAATCCATAGTCACAGCCTTTGAGG